ATTTCCAAAGACATAAATTATTCAGCTCTCCAGAAACCTTTCAGATACAGGTAAGGTAGGGGATTAGAAGGTGTTTGAAGGAGAAGACTTGAGTGATGGCACAGGGGATGGACTCCAGCTTAGGCGTATAAATGAAAGGGACGCTGTCAGTCCAGAAAGTGTTTGACATTGTCAACAGTTTACAGTTATCGATAGTAATTAATCTCCATTACTTTTCCAAGACTAGAGTGACAGGGAGTGAGTGGATAGAAACACTTCTACGTTTTAGAATATGCCATTTCGATTCAGCTACCTAAAGTAATGCAAAGCCCTTGCTTCTAGAGTCCTTTAATGCAGCTGGCAAAACCTTGTTTTACCCTGAGTGTGCTTATAAGTGACCATGCAGAACTGAACATGTGTTTTATGAGACCCACTTTTAAATTCAGTGCTAAAAGGATTTTTCAAGCCTTCAGAATCAAGATTAGTAATTCCTGCATCTTGGGTTGATTATCTTAGCAGCATGTGCTGTGTTAGTAAGAAAGTGCACGGAATGAAAATGTTGCGCTCCAAAGCCTTAGATTACCATCCTCAAGAAGTAATTGCATGAAGGCTGATGTTACTAATTTATTCGTATCTTAGAGTGAGCCTGTGATAGAGGAGAAAACACAAAATTGCTTTTCTTAATAGAACAAACTGCCGAACAAGGTTTAAGGCCAAATACCCTTGAAAACTCTGCAAAGGTCTTTCCATCAAAATCATACTGCTTTTCAAGTCTGGACTGGAAACACGAGAGCTTTTGTGGCTTGTCCTTGTGAATAAGCTCTTCCCAAGGCAGGCATGATAGTGCATTTCTGTAGTCAGAGAACCCAGGAGACTGGGGCAGGAGGACTGTGCATTCAAGGTCAGCCTGGGCTACATAGAGAGAGAGACCCCATCTCAAAAAGTAAACATAAATTAAGCCACCTGTGACCCATCATGCTGTCCCATCAGAGAATGCATTCCCTGAGCTATCCATTCTCTGAAACTTAAAGGGAAGGTATAAAAGGATTCTATGTGGTTTCTCTCTGCTCTTGAGTTAGAGAAATCTTTTTACTGTTGCTCAAGATATCTTTTGGAAGAGTTGGGGGAAGGATTGAGGGCCCGGAAGTGGATAGAAACTCCACAAGAAGACCAACAGAGTAAACTAACCTGGACCTTTGGGGGCTTCCAGAGACTGAACCACCAACCAAAGACTATACATAGACTGGACTTAAGCCCCCACATATATGTAACAGATGTGTACCTTGGTATTCATGTGAGATCCCCAACAACTGGAGCAGGGACTGTCCCTGACTCTGTTTCCTGCCTGTGGATCCTGCTCCCCTTCTGGGCTGCCTTATCTGTCCTCAGTGGGAAAGGATGCACCTAGTGCTACAGTGACTTGATGTGCCAGGGTGGGGTGCTGGGGGAGGCTCATCTCTCAAAGGAGAAGGGGGAGGATGGGGAAGCTGGGGGGCACAGGGGCTGTGATCAGGATGTAACATGAATAAATATATTAATTAATGAAAAAACAAAACACGTTTCACAACATGATGTCTTGGGTGTATGATGGTTATTAGAACCCAACCCTGCTGTAAGGTGTCCTCTTTGCAGACTAAAAGATTGTTTAGACTAGTTTGACGGATTGCTTGTGGGATAGTGGCCTAGCTGCAGTTGCCTGAGTTTAACCACAGAAGTAAATGAAGACCTTAGATATGGTCTGTGTCTGAACAGCACCTTCACCTAAGAAGGTTAAAACCGAGCCCAGTACATAAAGGCAGTTCTGTATTAAGGAGAGTAGTGTCGTTGCTCTGGACTGTCCCCATGCCATAACCATGGGTTGATTTTCAGCAAGAGGTTCTAAGAGCTTCTTCATTCTTTATCAGTATTGGGCAATAAATAATCTGTTTGCTATGCCATCTAGGAAAATAGATAATTTCAATGAGGTTTAAAAAATGGATCAAAGTCATCAGGAATAATACACAGTTTCAGTACCAGCACCCAGAAGACAAGGTACCTCAAGTTTGAGGTTATTCTGTTATATAACCTAAGGCCAGCCTGGGCTATATCCTAAGACCCTGACTCAAAACAAATACACAAGTAATAACAATCTCATTCTCTTTATCTGTGTGAAGGGGTATATGTGTGTGTGTGTGCCCATGTGGGCACACACATATGCTCACACATGTATGGGAGGGTAGAGTGTGGTTAGTGTTCTTTAAGTGCCAGCCATTTTGATTATTTGAGACATGATCTCACTCTTTCACTGGGACATGATGCTCACTCACTAAGCTTGACTGGCTAGTAAGCACCAAGAACCCACCTGCCTCTGTCTCTGCAGAGATGGGATAACAAGTGCTTGCCACCACACACAGCTTTTCATACTAAGTACTAAGGATCAAACTCGGGATCCTCAAGCTTTTGTGACTAACACTTCATCCACTAAGCTGTCTCTCCCAGACCCTCATATTCATTCTCATCCAGAGAAATCTGTTCTGTTGACTTAAAGGTACTTTATGTTGACCAGAAATCTCTAGTTTATTATTATTTTTTTAATCTAGTCTCTTCATTAGTGAATTTCTTTAGAGAATCTATTCTCCAAAATCTGGGTTTTGTACTTGTAGACTAGGCCCTAGCCTGAGGACTGGCCCCAAAGTGAGAAAGGCAGACATTTTATCTAGACTGTACCTGGCTTATCCTGAAATAATATTAAAGACTCAGACATGTACCTAGAGCAGGATCTGAGAGCAAAAGCCTGGTGATTCCACTGGTTTTATCTCTTTATGATGTGCTGGGAAATTATGCAGGGAAGCCCTGCTTCCTACTCAGAGACAGCCGTGGATGCTATATCATAAGATGGCTGCAGCTACGACAAGTTGGATTCACCTATTGACAAAATAAATTTGAGACAGTTACCAAAATAACAACGTAAGGACATGCCCAAAAAATGGAGGTTTGTGGGGTAGTAAATCGTCTGGAGTCAGATGCAGGGTTAATTAAAAACCATCAGTGTTAGAGCAGGAGGTAGCAATCCAGGAAATGACAATGTGTGGAGCCAGAAAATCATTTCTAAGTCTGTAAAACTAACAGTAAGATTTAGCCTGTTCATTGGAGAGGTTGATTAGCTAGAAGCTTCTGACTAGTGAGGATCCAAGCTACCTTCTTCTGTTGTGTTCATGGCTACCATTCCATGGTTAGCTCAGAAAGTCTGGTCTGTTTTGTTAGAGGTAGGATCTTAATCTGTATTACGTAGCCCAGGCTGTCCTGGAACTTGCCATCCCCCTGCCTCAGCCTCTTGAATGCTGGGATTGCAATGCACATCACCATATCTTGGGATCTATGCTGTGAGACGTTGTCCTGTGGAAGTTCAAGAGTCCTATCTTGTTACTGCTCCATTGCTGTGGAGACACCAAGGCCAAAGTAACTCTCACAAAAGAAAACATTTTTTTTGGGATCTTGCTTACAATTTCAGAGGGTTAGTCCATTATTTTCATAGTGTGGGGATCATGGCTGCAGGCGGGCAGAGGTGGTGCTGGAGAAGGAGCTTAGAGCTTTACATTCTGATGTCTGTAGATAGCAGGCACACAGAGACAGAGATGGGGGTGAGAGAGTGGGGTGAGAGGAAGAAAGGCGAGAGGGAGGGGGAGCTTTTGGAACTCCAGTGGCCACTCCCATTGACACAGTCCTCCAACAAGGCCACACAGCTCCTAATCTTTCTAAACAGTTCATCAACTGGGAGCTAAGCATGCAAATATAGTGCCTATGGGGCTATTTTCATTCCAACCACCATGATCACCTACATCAGCATGCATGTGAATCCTGGCAGAACAGCACAGCCTACAGTCTTGAGTAGCCTGGCCTATAGGCATGGATTTTATAGAGATAAAACCTAGTGCTATTATTCAAACTTTTTAATAGTCTCAGAAAAGTTATTGCATCCCCATGAGTTATCTAAACTACCAAATAAGAAGAAGATAGAGGAACACAAAGCGAGAGGAGGGGGGGGGAGAGGAAAGAAGCAGCTGTGGTTTCTGCCTTCACAATATCAAACTAGACAACATTCTTATAATGAGTGGGAGGGGCCCATGAGTTCCCAGCCCCAGGAGCTATTGGTACTTGATGCTTCAGGGTAAGAGAGACATGATTTTCTTTTTCTTTTGAAGGGTTTGGCCCCTGGAGGTGGACTATATTCCAGGGGTAGACCCAAGCTTAGGCATATATGGTCAGCACAAATTGGACTCTGTGGGTTGTAGTGGGACTTTCTGGGTTCACCAGTGGTGTAAATAATGACACAGCAACTTAGTAATTTTTATTATTGCTTAGGCCTTAGGTTAGTCAACCTCCCAGCTAGCTGGATTGTCTTCATCTTATTATCCTAGCTCACACCCTGCCATGTGGCTAGCTCTTTAACCCTCAGTTCTGGTACATCTGACCACCTCCATGTTGTGCTGGCAAATCTCCTTGAGCCCGATTCTTCTCCATGAGACCAGCCCAGAAGTCCCACTTCTCTTTCCTGACTAGCTATTGTTCATCAGCTCTTTATTTAGCCAATCAGCAAGTGAGGAAGGTGAATGTTCACAAAAAACAGAGGCAGGTGATGATCCGTAAGAGTAATAATACCAAAATCTTCCCAGTACTCAGCTTTCTGCACCTATAGCAATCAGCAATGGAATAATACAAAGACAACCTTCACGCAATGTACAAAAAGGTTACCCCAACAGTGGGTTCTTCTTAAAAAGCAAAAAGAGAACCTGATGTGGTGTGGGAAGTGTTGGTAGATCTGGGAGGAGCTGAGGGGAGGAGTGGGGAATGCATATGATCAGAATACATTGTATCATATTCTGAAACAATTGATAAACATATATTTTTAAAAGAATGTAAGACTACATTTTTTTAATTTGTCAAGCCAAATTACTTTACAAACAAATGTAAATCCCTGACAAGAGGGATCAATGACTTAACTGAAACATAGTGACTTTATTTTATTGCCGTCTCTACTCCAGGGGTTGCCACATCTGCAAACTTCCGGGAAGAGTCATGGGGATTCGAGTGCTCCGGTTCTCCCTGGTGGTCATCCTTGTGTTGCTGCTGGTAGCAGGGGCTTTGACCAACTTACTCCCCAACATCAAAGAAGACAAGATGCTGACTCTTCGTAGGGAAATCAAATCCCCGAGCAAGTCGGCCCTGGATTCCTTCACTCTCATCATGCAGACGTACAACAGAACAGACCTCTTACTAAGACTCTTAAATCATTACCAGGCAGTACCAAATCTGCACAAAGTGATTGTGGTGTGGAACAATGTGGGCGAGAAGGGGCCGGAGGAATTGTGGAATTCTCTAGGGCCTCACCCCATCCCTGTCATCTTCAAACCACAAACAGCAAACAAAATGAGAAATCGACTCCAGGTCTTCCCTGAAGTGGAGACCAACGGTGAGTCAAAGCTGGGGCTCCTGTGTGTATGTGGTAGGACTTCTAGCTTTCAGGGAAGATACCATTAAAAAGGCACTTTGAAACACTTAAGGAGCAATTTCCAGATTTCCAACAAGCAGCTTCCTGGGGAAGGAACACACACAGACATCTTACGATGACAGCCAAGGGGATAGTGTTAAAATATTTTTAAAAGGTATACCGTGTGGCACAGTACACACAGAGAGTATGTTATTCACTACAGAAAAAGTCATAAAATGGCAGTTCTAGTCAGGGTTACTATTGCTGTGATGAAACACCATGACCAAATGCAACATGGCAAGGAAAGGGTTCATTTGATTTACATTTCCACCTTACTGTTCATCCTTGCAGGAGTCAGCATAGGAGTCTGGAGGAAAGAGCTGAAGCAAAGGCTATGGAGGGGGTGTTGCTTCCTGGCTTGCTCAGCTTGGTTTGTTGTTTGTTTGTTTGTTTGTTTGTTTGTTTTTTATAGAACTCAGGACTACCAGCCCTGGGAGTAGCACCACCCACAATGGGCTGGGCCTTCCTCTATCAGTCACTAGTTAAGACAATGCCCTACAGGCTTGTTTACATACTGATTTATAGAGGCATTTTCTCAAATGAGGCTCCCTCCTCTCAACTCAAGTTCACATAAAACCAGCACAATGACATTTACTTTAATGTATGTGTGGCATTCTTTTCTTTATATGAGTAACAGTTTCTCCAGGGTGTGATTTTCTTAAAAGTACCTCCTCGGCTTTTTAGCTTCTGGGTGGATGAGTTATAAGTGCGCAATGGTATTTTCCCTTCAGTTGGAGACAAATCTCTTTAAGAATACATTTTTTGATTTAGTAATTGGGTTAGAAAATAGTCAATATAGACACAACGGTATCTTCCTGAGTTTTGTGTTCATTTCCATGCTGTTCAATGTCTTTTTTTTTTCTTTCCATCGCAGCGGTGTTAATGGTAGACGATGACACTCTCATTAGTGCCCAGGACCTTGTTTTCGCTTTCTCAATTTGGCAGGTAATGTTGCTATTTTTTTTTATGACACCATATGGGTAAAGTTTTATCTATGTGATACCTAACCAGGGCAGCTTGGTTTTTTTTTTTTTTTTTTTTTTTTTTTAATGGAGGTTATTTACTAAGACAGTGCAGACAGTATCTAAAACCATAGCTGAAATCGTCATAGGCCAATCGAGATTTTCAGAGCTTAGTTAAGGCAACATGAAAGTTGGCTTAACATCTTCTTGTAATAGGAAGAAAAATTGGAATTAGCTTCCCAAGAACAATGAAGTGATCTGGTGCAGCCAAGACTACAATGCAGAAAAGTTTCCTCCAGACCATCTGTGTCTCAACTGGCAAATGTATTTGTGTACTAACAATGTAAGAAACTTGTTATACAAGAAAGCATTTATAGCTTGAACAAAATCACATACTAGTTGTCTTAGCTAGGGTTTTACTGCTGTGAACAGACACCATGACCAAAGCAACTCTTATAAGGACAACATTATAGTTGGGGCTGGCTTACAGGTTCAGAGATTCAGTCTGTTATCATCAAGGCAGAAGCATGGCAGCATCCAGGCAGGCATGGTGTAGCAGGAACTGAGAGGTCTACATCTTCATCTGAAAGCCTCTAAGACTGATTTCCAGGCATTGAGTACTAAGGTATTAAAGCCCACACCCACAGTGACACACCTACTCCAACAAGGCCACAACTCCTAATAGTGTCACTCCTTGGTCCACTCATATACAAACCATCACACTAGTTGAGCCCATGTTGAGAAATTCTGAGGTCATAATTCGGTGTGTGGCATTGTGGCGACAGGTGTTTGTTTTGGCTTGGTTGTCCCTAAATGCCTGCTTGAATGAGCCAGCATAAATTGCCCACTAGCTCTCCCACTGAGCATATACTAATAATAGTTGAGCTATCCAAGCTGTGTTATAGATTACCTGAACTGTGTGCAGATCTTCTGATTACATGCTGTGCTATCCTAGTTGGTCATATTTGCAGTAAGTCCTCCCTAAGGCCACCTGCCACATGACACCACGGGATACAAAGGGCGGGTGGTGACAGTGCTCTGCCCATACCAGCCTCCTAAATGCTGCTGTTTTTATTTCCATGCCTAGCATATTGACCAGTGAATTTTACTTTTTTCTATGCTAACAATTTTTTTCTGCCCCCAAAACAAAATCTTTTTAGGCAAAAAGTTCTAACGTAATGCTTCATCTATGAGACTTCCACTTAAGGGTTTTAAAAAGAAAAAAAGATCAGACTATCCTGAAAATAAAGATAAGATTGGGTACAATACAAAGAATGTGATTGGTTAGAGCAACTTGAATAGAAGTATGAAAAAATATAAATGGTATTTTAAGTTTTATTCATAAAGTATCAAGAGCCATTTCAATCCTTGACGAAGGGTATGTGTCTGTATGATTCACCTGCTCAGTGCCCTGGGTCTCTTCATCATTTGGTGTGTATGCAAGTTCAATGGAGAGGACAGTCACTTGTGCCTACACAGATCTGTTAACCACCCCACCCCCTATCGGCCACCCCCATCCCGCTTGGTGCCTTTCTCCAGCCTGAGAGATTTTTTCAGAGTCTGGAGTGGGTAATGGTACTTCTTCAGAGCCTTTCTCCTCCACCATTATCTGAACGTCCTCTCTGCCTCCACAGCAGTTATGACAATCCTCAGTGCTCCCATCTGCCTCATGCAACTCCCTTTCCAGACTTCTGTCCACCCAGGACGTGGGACAGTGGGAATCCCCCACTCACAAGTGTGCATAACTTCCTTAAACTCTGTGCTCCTTGAAGAAAAATTTAATTCAGCCTAGACTGTGTGTGTGTGTGTGTGTGTGTGTGTGTCCTCACCTTGGCAGATGAAACTCAAACTGGGTGAAGTTCACATTATTCACAAGAATGAATTCAGCTCTTAAACTTTTAATCCTGTGAGTGCGGTGCTTTCTTTTGTGTACTGTTCTTTTGTTTGTTTGACCTTTGCTGAGGCCTTCCTTCATAGAATTGTCTTTGTTACTATCTATTCTTTCTTCAGAGATCTTGCCATGTCTCTTATCTGTATGTATATGTAAATACGTAATTTATCTTGTATTTCCTTATTTAAATTTATATTTGTGAAAAGGAACTTATAAATGGATTTTAATAAACTACTAGTTATTAATATGACCTGGCCAGCCCCCCAATAATTGAAGCAGAGTCCCATGGAGTTTTAAAATCAAGTTTAGCTCAGTTACTGGGTGAATTACCCCTAATCTATTTTTCTCTATGCTAGATTGGTTAGTGCCCCAGCTCTGCTCCACAGGTACTTGCTACTTGAGTCTCACTCTGTTTCTGCTATTTCTGCTCCATCAGCCTGTTCTCAGGGTACACTTCTCGTGGCCATGTGCTCAGGATCCATCTGACCTAATGGTGGCCTTCTCTTCTCTGTTTTCTTTCTCCTTCACCTGTTTCATCATCATCCTCTCCCTCCTCCTCCTCTTCCTTCGCCGCCCTCCTCCTTCTTCCTCCCTCCCTCCTCCCCTTCCTTGTAGTCCACACCTGTGTCCCCCAGCCTGGTAACTGAAACTCCACTTACCTTTATTCACTGAAGTGTAATTGGCTGTAGCCACTTTCATTTAACCAGTAGCTTTAAATTTGGGGGCAAGATTTATACATCAGAGGCTGGTATACATGAAAATTTGCTTGGATGAAGGCAGCCTGATCTTGGGAGCCAGTATTTAGCATTTGAATACATAGCAGCACCAGGCCAACCCTCAAAAGGAACTGTCAAACTCTGAGAGGCATAAAATATAACATTGTTTAAAATCAATATTGACTTTCAAGAACATCAAGATCAACATTGAAAAGCAATAAAAAAAAAAAATCAGTCCTATAGCTGGGCCAGTGGTTGTCACAAGCTTTTGAGCCTGGCACTCAGGAAGCAGATGCAGGTGAATCTCTGTGAGTTCCAGGCCAGCCTGGTCTATAGAAAGATTTCAAGAGGACAGCCAGAGCTACACAGAGAAACCTTGACTCAAAAAACAAAACAAAAAACAAAAACAAAACCATGATCACTTACCTCTTATCTCCTATGATAATCTTGTGAGCAAGTTTTCTTTTTTGTTTGGTTTTATGTTTTTGTTGTTGCTGTTGGTTTTGGGGGTCTGGGGTTCATTTGTTTGGTTGGCTTTGTTTTTCAAGACAGGGTTTCTCTATGTAGTCCTGCCTGTCCTGGAACTCATTCTATAGACCAGAGATCCACCTGACTCTGCCTCCTGAGTGCTGAGATTAAAGGTATGTACCACCACACATCAGCACAATCAACTGTTCTTAAAGCAAATTTTAAAGGACTAGTCTCTTTGGGGATTAAAATGTTATTGAATTGGTTGCTAGAATCGGCAGAATATCTGTAAGGTAAGACATTTTCAGAGAGCTTTTGGTTGTGATAGAATTTAAGCTGTAAGCTTATCCAGAGACAAAGTTATGATATTGTCTAGAGTTAGAGGAAGTTAGGGAGAAAAAAATAAGGAAAACGCAGAAATAAGAAATAAGGGAAAGTTGACAAACCAGCTACATCCTCTGTAATACATAAGCATCTTTGACCATGTCTACTCTAAAGAAACACCATACTTAATTGTTCCTTTCCTTCTCTTTTCAGCAATTTCCTGATCAGATAGTAGGATTTGTACCTAGAAAACACGTCTCTACTTCTTCCGGTATCTACAGTTACGGAGGCTTTGAGCTGCAGACACCTGGGCTCGGAAATGGCGACCAGTACTCCATGGTGCTCATTGGAGCCTCCTTCTTCAACAGCAAATACCTGGAACTCTTCCAGAAGCAGCCTGCAGCCGTCCACGCGCTGATCGACGAGACTCAGAACTGTGATGACATCGCTATGAATTTCATCGTCACCAGGCACACTGGCAAGTCTTCAGGGATATTCGTGAAACCTATAAACATGGTGAATTTGGAGAAAGAAACCAACGGGTATTCTGGAATGTGGCATCGGGCAGAGCACTTTCTGCAGAGATCCTACTGTATAAATAAGCTTGTTAATATCTACGACGGCATGCCCTTAAAGTACTCCAACATTATGATTTCCCAGTTTGGTTTTCCGTATGCCAACCATAAAAGTAAAATGTGAACTGGAAGCAAAGACAAACCCAAAACACTGCTGGGATTTTAGTGGCTTCTCCATGCTGTATGTTTTTGGTTTTGTTTCAAGCAACACCATGAACTTTTATCTAGTTCACAAGTCTCTATAGTAGGAAAAAAAAAACATATGCAGTACTTCTAGAATATAAAACACATGGACTTCGAAAGCCAAGAAGCTGGCCTTACCCAGATAGGAGTTCTTGTGAAGCGCTTTTGTCCAAGGTTGTAACTCCTTGGTGGTGATATTATTGTTTACTTCTTGAGACTGCTCTCCAGTATGTTTGAGCCCTGGAGTTTGCCTTAAGGACCTACAACAAGCTGCTTCCAGAGACTCAAAAGAGACAATTTTCAGCTTTTCAGTGAAAATTGAAAGGTTGGTTGTTTTTATTTGAAGCCTGAAATGCCTGCGGTATAGGGAAAAGCCATGTGCAAAGAGTTGGGTCTGAACCCCATGTTGCTGATGTCCTTTCTGGCCCTTGTAAGCAGAACTGACTGAGCCCAGCATGGTTTTGCTGAAGCTGTCAGTGCTGGTGTTTTTGCTGTTATGCCTGTTGTGACTGGGAGTGTAAGTTTTTGTGGCTGACTATTGTTTAATTTTTTTTTTTTTTGTGAGCCTACTCTGCATGGATCACTAAAATGTGCCAGCCATGTTTCTTATATGCAACCTATATGCAACAAGGAGTCAGTGTGTTCCTGTAATCTGTCACCATGTGTGACCTTGAGGATCTACATTAGTTCTTATATTTTACAGAATGTGTTGAATAAATATGTATAAAATAACTTCTGAAAGAATGGTTAAGTAGAAGCTAGCAGAAATTAAAAACCTTAGTGTCAAAGATCTTTATTATTAAAGCATAGGCTATCTTGTGAGTATTTAATAACTGATTACACAAAAATGTTTCCATCCAGAACTCAGGATTTTGCTAGGATTTTTTTTTTAAGTCCCCAGGCACTATTCATCAGGATGAAATTTCAATTACATAGTTGTAGGAGAAAAAAAAAAGAAGGAGCCATCATGCGAGAAGGCTGTGGGATGCCCTCAGGAGTTCACTCTTCCTACTACTCACTCCTCGATATGGGAGCCAGTGTTTGCATCCTGCCTGGTGTCCTTTAGTTTGACCTTGTTCACCACTACTGAGAAGGAATACTCTATCAGGCCTCCGTGTATCACTTTTCTTCTTCTCTTCATATGAGGCCTAAACATTCTCAAAGGTGTGAAAATAGGAGAATATTGACAACTGAAGTTCCACTGCAAGATCTTCCCGCCGTCAGTTCAGTGTCTGTTTGTCTAACAATGGAGTGTCTATGTGTGTGTCATAATGCAATCAGAAATATATTTCATTTGATCCCATTAAAAGTCATGTCAGTTATCTGCTTTCTCCAAATCTGGTAATAGATTTTTGCCTCTTGGTCATCCACTGTCAAACAAATAAACGTCAACTGTCCACTGTGTTAGTAGCTGAGCAGGCTGCTTTGGTGGTGTGTTCTGAGTAGCTCTGTACTCTGCAGTACTGCTCACAATGAAGCTGAAAACTTGATGCACTCACCAGGAACAAGTTTCTTATTGGGAAAATAGCCCCATGCTTGATTTCCTATTGTTTTAAATGCAACATTATAGCAAGTGGATTATACTATGTTCTCACATATTATAAATAGTCACATATTATAAAAATATGTTTAGGTCTATACAAGAAAGATTTCTACACTGTGGCTAGACCTCCTGAGACCATCTTTTCCATGAAAACCTCTTACTCATGCCCCCACGTGATCCAAAATCACTCCTGTAGGCTCAAAACTACACCTGCAAAGCAGTGTAGCTGAGGAGTGAAGTCTACAGGCTCTGTTGTTACACTCTGGGCTGAAATCCTTGCCAGACATCACATTTAAAGAGCCCCTGTTTCCTCATCAGAATGTGATTGTTTTTCTTAAGTAATGCCCATGTATCCTAAACATTGGGAAACTGAGAATAGGTTAATATTCACGGTTGTATTAAGACTTGGTTTTAAAGACTAAGAGATGGTTTGCCTGACTAGGGTACACTGGCTTCCGTATTTCAGACATCCAAAGCATTAAAGCGGGTAGGGTGCTCTAATACTAGAAAACCCAATATCCACCAAGTGAGGTACTGAGACCACTGTCTCTGCACAGTACCCAGAAACCAGAGGATGTTCCTTGTTTTCATCCTTTATATACTTTCCCCCTTTGCTTTGTTTGTTTTGGAGACAGAGTCTTACTCTTTAATGTAGGCTGGCCTCAGACTCAAGGCCCTTCCTGCCCAAGTCTCCCAAAATGCTGAAATTACAAACATGAGACATCACACCTGGCTCTTCACATTAAAGCAGCAGTACATATTTATTCTATCAGTTTGAGCATATTCACAGCAGTGTAAAGAAATCAAAGATCCAGCTGTGGTGGCTCACCTCTGTAATCCCAGCACACAGAAGGCTGACGGAGGAGAATTCCAGTGACGATCAGCCCTGCTACAGATTAAGACTGTGTGTGTGTGTGTGTGTGTGTGTGTCTGTGTGTCTGTGTGTCTGTGTGTCTGTGTGTGTGTGTCTGTGTGTGTGTGTGTGTGTGTGTGTGTGTGAGAGAGAGAGAGAGAGAGAGAGAGAGAGAGAGAGAGAGAGAGAGAGAGAGAGAGAGAGATTGAGATTGTAAGAGGACAACTTTTCAGAGTCAATCAGCTCCTTCCACCATGTGGGTTAGAAGTATCAAACTCATGCTTAGGCTTCATAGCAAGTGCCTTTTCCCACGACGACATCTCGCCAGCCCCGAACAGATGCTTTAGTAGGTCGATTCCCTTGTTATCCCACTGTGTGAGTAAACCAAGATTCTGTACTCAGCGTGCTCCCTCTTCACTTGCTTTCTTCTTACTGTACAATACTGGATAGATCATTCTACCTTACAGATCTATGAGCATATCCTGTGATTATTTCCTTAAAAATGAAATCCAACAAAATGGCACATCTGGATCTCTCTAGTGGGATCCCTCTCATCTTTTATGGGCTTTGATACATGCTGCTAGATTCCTCTAGAACTGTTGCCATGGTGACACTGTTAATAGCCCATCTGAGAACACCTGTTTCCCATCAACCTTCCTGACTTCCTCCCTTTCTGTTTTCTTGTCATCTACGTATTCCACATAAAATATCTGTGGGCTACAGGATTTTAAAGGCTTTTCCCATTCACAGAACTTGATGTTGAGAAGGCTGAACAGGAAGACAAGGAAGTGTCCAATGACAGCTCAAAGGGCGGTAGAAGCTTCAGGAAGCATTAGAAATGCTTCTAGAAACTATTTCAAGGTTGCTGTATAGACACATAATTGACCACCAATGTCAGTTTTTGTCTTACTAAGACTCTCAACTTTGTTCTCCCGGCACCCCACCCCAACACACATAGCCTAGTTTTGATTCACTTCCGTCTTCTCTCCTTACTTGAAGTCTCTCACAACATAAAACCCAATTGTTTTCTAACACACACTTGCATTGGGTCCTGACCCTTCTTAATGTCCTTCCCTGTAGGGTAACAATGGAACACTTGCCGTGAAACTTGACATTTTGTGCTTGTTTGGGAAGGAAGGATGCTGGAGGCTGGAAAGAACTTGGCGGTACCTTCAGAAATCACAGAAATACCCATCAAAGAAAGGACTGTACAGCCATGTCATTTTTAAAGTTAGTTATGAAGTATGGGTATATCAAAATCATACTGTTACAGCATGAAGAGAGAGCAAGCTTCTGCAAATACCAAAATATACTTTAGTAAGCTCACTGCAGCCAAGGGACGTGCTTGTTTGTTTGTTTGTTTGTTCCGTAGTCCAGTCTGGTCTTTAGTTTGTTATCTGGGCTAGGCTTCAATTTAGGGTCTTCCTGTCTCAACTTCTTGATCACTGGGATTATAGGCCTGGGAATCATGCTTGGCTCCAGAAAGAATTTCCATGAAGGATTTATGTGACTCTAGAGCCTCTGTCTCAGCAGTTCATTTATTTCTGAGAGAAAATAGTAAAAATTCAATTGAGACTTTATTTTTTAGTTCTTTTTTTGTTTGTTTGTTTTGCTTTTATCACACACACACAAAAAAACCCAGCTTTATTTCATACCAGTTGTTAACTTGAACTAATCGTGTGTGTGAGTGTGTGCTTAGGAGTATGTGTGAGTGTGTTTGTGTGTGTGTGTGTGTGTGTGTGTGTGTGTTTCCAGAAACATTTGGCAATTTGGGGAAAATAGGATTGTTACAACTGGAGGCACACTATCTCACCACTGGTATGTTAAGGGGGATATTGCTAAGTAGCCAAAATGAACAGGGTGGATTTGACAGTGACACAGCTGAGAAAAAAAAAACTTGCTTAGCATCATTTGTTAGGTCATTTGATTATTAATTATCTACTCAGCATGGTTTCTGACATGTAAGTTCCATGCTCACTTGTGATGATGCCTATTGGGATGCAAACTTGCTGGGAAATGTGCTTGTCTGATAAGACATCCAGTGTGCGAGGCTGTGAGCTGGTCTCCATCAGAAAGCCATAGACGTCGACAGTGATGACTTACCCAAATTGATTCCTCTCCTCTGGTTCACAATCCTCTTCCATTCTCACATCTGAAGATGTGAAGAAATGCAGAAGACAGCTTGCTTTTCTGAGAAGGACTTGGAGAAAAAAAAAAGCATATTTTGGAAGTGCCAGATAGCAGCATTACATAACAATCTATGTATTCAAATAACACATCTTGAGTCTGAGAAAGCTGGCATAAATGAATTGGGGAAAGCTAAATATAAATTTTAAAGCATGTTTGCATGTCCAAAGGTTTTTTTGTTTGTTTAAATCACAAGCAATATGTATCTAGTAAAGGATTTCAGAATGGGAACATCAGGGAACTTTTATTGTTTTTCTAGAATCTTCCGAGTATCCAAGATATTTTAACTTATTTTTCTCACCTTCCTCATGAAAAAAGGGCAAACTAAATGTTTAGCAAATGTCTTTCCAATTGTAAAGTTTGATTACCCTAAATCAGAGTGTTGAATCAGTCGTTCTTAAAACATAGCAGCCATGAGTTGAACATATAGTTAAGTTAGTGGGGTGCTCACCTGGCATGCACAAAGCCCCAGGTTCTGTCCCCAGCACAACATAAACTGTATGTGGGAGCACACAGCTTATACTCAACAGAAAGTGAAGACAGGAGGAGCAGGTCATTCTCAGCAACATGGCAAGTTTGAGGCTACCCTGGGCTATGTGAAGCCCTATTTTCTTTCTTTCTTTTTTTCCTTTTTCCTTTTATAAAGCAGTTTTTAATTCTTTTTTTTTATTGGATGTTTTATTTACATTTCGTATGTTGTCCCCTTACCCCATCCCCCCACCCACCCAGGAACCCTCTATACCCTGACCCCTCCTCCTTCTTCTCTGCAGATATAACCCCTACCTACCCCCCACTCCCACCTCCCCACCCTCAAATTCCGACCCCCTGGAGCATCCAGCCTTCATGAGGTCAAGGATCTCTTCTTCCACCTATGCCCAGCAGGGCCCTCCACTCTTACGTATTCAGCTGAAGCCATGAATCCCTCCCTAAGTGCTCCCGGGCTGGTGGTTTAGACCCTGGGAGCTGTGGTTGGTTGGTATTGTTGCTCTCCTCATGGTACCGCAAATCCTTTCAGCTCCAATGGTCTTCACTCTAACTCCTCCATTGGGAACCCCATGATCAGTTCAATGGCTAGTTGTGAGCATCTGCCTCTGAATATGTCAGACTCTTGCAGACGTCTGAGGAGACATCTATATCAGGCTCTTATCAGTATGCACTTCCTGACTTCCACATCAGCATCTACCTTTGGTGACTTCACATGGGATGGATACTCAGGTAGAATGGTCTTCAGACGGCCGATCCTTCAGTTTCTGTCCCTCACTTTGTCTCCATATTTGCTCCCTTGAGTATTTTGTTGCTCCTTCTAAGAAGGACCGAATCACCCCCACTTGGTCTTCCTTCTTCATGAGCTTCATGTGGCCTGTGAGTTGCATCTTGGGCGTTTCAAGGTTCTGGGCTAATATCCATAATCAGTGAGTGAATACCATGTGTGTTCTTTTGTGATTGGCTTACTTCACTCAGGATGATGATTTCTAGTTCCATCCATTTACCTAGGAAACTCCCTAATTCATTGATTTTAATAGCTGAGTAATACTCCATTGTGTAAATATACCACATTTTTTGAACCCATTCCTCAGTTGAAGGACATCTGGGTTCTTTCCAGCTTCTGGCTACTATAAATAAGGCTGCTATGAACATAGTTGAGCATATGTCCTTGTTATATGTTCGAGCATCTTCTGGGTATATGCCTAGGAGTGGATCCTCAGGTAATGCTATGTCCAATTTTCTGAGGAACTGCCACACTGATTTCCAAAGTGGTTGCACCATCTTGCAGTCCCACCAACAATGGAGGAGTGTTCCTCTTTCTCCACACCCTCACCAGCATCTACTAT